CAACACCAGCCTAAGCTGATTAAAACTCCACTGTAACACTAAATGGTTAGTGCTACTGCCACTGCCAATGACTTTTAAGCCAAGACTGAAACTGGAGTAGACACTTTAGTACTTAGTGCCTATCGGTTTACACAGGACTGCTCACACAGTAAGCTAGCCCTCAAAAGCATTAAGGCTGCATTTATCAAAGTTGAGTATTTTGTAACACAAGGAAGTTTCTTTGAAAGCTCTGACTTCAATTTCTGGAACAAAGCTACTTTGCTGTGGAGGTGTTAAGAATAGGAATAATGTATTTTACTGTAATAAAACAAAACAGCAAAAAACAGGCTGACACTATTCAGGTGCTCTAAATTGTGATGCTATTATTCTTGCAAGCTCTCTTTAAGAAAGTTTGCCTTAGAATAAAACAGCTTTGGAACTGGGAGTCAGAAGGTAAATTAAGCCACGCAGCTACTTGTCACCCTGCCACAAATGACACAGGGTCACAACTTTGCCCCTGTGGAATACATCTAGCTGCACGAGCTTGCAAAAGAATTAATGAAAAAGAGAACCATTCTAGACTTGCCTGTAACACTATGCACAAAATCCAACTTTACAAAATTAGTTGTGAGGAAGGGTAGGTAATTTTTTTTTCCCTATTAAGACACTGTTGTGTTGATGAGTAACAGGTGTGTGAAAGCTCACCAGTAACCTTCCCCGTTACCTTCCAAACATGCTTCTGGACACACACCAGGTCAGTTTCAAGTGAGCTCACACCACATCTCTGCATGGTATTTTCTCCACTATGTTGGAACACAACACGTTCGCACTACCACGCTGAAGACGTTAGCTGTGCACGCCTTTAACTCACTTGCAGCCGGCAAATACTCTTCCCCTGCAGTTTTACTAAAGGACTTCCTGAGGACAGACGGAATATGGATCTGGCTCAGCACATGACCTTCATCTCCAGAAACAGATTTGGAACAGATGCCATAATTGCGCTCCCTGCCTTCTTTTTCTAAGCCCAGAAACCCTAGATGAAAATTTGGTACCTTCTGATACTTGATTTGAAGCAGACGCAGACTCTGTGTGCAGCTTTACTGGACGCGCTGCCAGATGGGAAACAGGAGGAGCGCTGTATTTGTGGCGAGTGCTTCCAAGTACGTCACCTATTTCAGATTCATCTTCCAAGGCCGTCACTAACGCGTACACCACCGGTTCACCAGACTCTGCAGCTATCAAAGCCTTTCCAAAGAGGAATTCGGCGATGTGCAGACGACAGGCAAGAGGCAGATTCTCATCGGTGGTGTAAAATGCCACAAGAGGTGCCTGGAGTGGATACTTGTTTTCTTCAGGAAATCTTACTTCAAGTTCATATATGGGACCATCACTGTTAGATCTGAGGTGGGAATCATCTACGGAGCTCTTGGCTGATCTCAGTGGGTGGTTTGGAGGGAATTCGTGCCCGAATCTGCATTTTGAACCAAATTTGCAGCCTCCTTGGAGATAAAATTTACATATTTCTTTTGAAGTCTGCTTTGCTGTGTCTCTCGCACAACCACCCTTTTGTTTAGATTTGCTGAGCCTGTTTGTTAGGTATTCCAGTTCCAAACTAAATGTCCAAACTCTGTTTTGAATTCTTTCTACAAATTTTTCTCCATAGATTGACCGTAGGGCAAAAGCTTCTTCCTGTCTCTGTTCTAAACACTCTTCTTGACTGGCCTGAGCAGCTGTTGCAGAAATCTGCATCTTGTCTCCGTATCTCTCAGCAAAGCACTGCAATAGCAAATGCTCCAAAGATGCCCCAATGTTACCATTGCAGGATCTCAGGACGGTCCTACAACGCTCACTGTCAAAACCATACCTACAACAACACAGAGACCACATGGCAACAAGTGAGTGACAGAGAACGAAGTGAAACAACCACAGATCTGCTAAATGAGGCTCAAAGTAAGGAAGTACATACAGCATGAGATAGTATTGCTGTTGCCTGAAAAACAAAAGCCCCCAAAGGTCTGTTGTTTTGAAGGTGACAGTTTATGTAGCAACTGTCTCATATCAGAACATAGCAGATAGCAGTTAGAGGATACTGCCCACTATAAAGCTCTTCAGAAAAAGCTGAGCCCTCTCACACAGAAAAGAAATTAAAAATGTTAAGAAATGCTCAGATCTAAGCAAAATGGATGAAGAAAGCTAACAAAATTACACCTAACCAGAATAAACATATATAACAGCAGTGCTGCCTGAGCTTTCCCAGTACTTGTTTCATTATCTTAGAGAAAGAATTGAAAATTTTGCCATAAAAAAGCTACAACTCTTTATTTTCATAAAACCATTATTTTACGTTCATCCACTTGAGGATCAAATCTTGAGGAGATACAGACTCAGAATTCCTGAACATAGACTCTCTCTGGAGTCAAGTGGAATTCAAAGCACTGAGGGTTTACACTACTGAGACTAACGACTTGCCTCTTCAGCACACAAATCGTTAACTGGAAATAATCACCTGGAGAGCTTGTGCACAGCAAATGGAGACACTTCGCTTTCCACAATGTTGTGGGCAGCTGCCTCAGCAGAAGACCTTGGTGTCACGTCAGAAACTTCCTGATCTGTTGACCAGCACTGTTCATCATCAAGGTAATCAGGTTCATCGTCATCTTCACCAGAACCAGCTACTCTAATAAAAGGTTATCAAATTAAAGTGAAACAAAATTATACTGCTGAATAGATACAAGATTGTGTCCCTGCAACTTTAAATCCTCCACTTAAATGAGGAATTGCACCTTCCCTTTCTCTAAGTTAACATCATAGAGGAACAGAGTAGATTCAAAATCACATGACTTGAGATAAATTTAAAAGTTATGGGGAGGAAAAGAATACCATTTTTTTATTTTCCTAACAGTGCCTGTTAATGCATTTAGAAGTTTAAACTAACTCTGATTCAGGAGCCAGATCCTGCCCTTGAAGCTCTCGAAGAAGTTCCTTCACTCTTCTCTGATTCTCTGTTGTCATATGGATGGTCTGCAGAGGCATTTTGGCTTCAGGTCTTTGTTTCGTTTGCCCTCCTCTTCTGGCAGAAACATTTGATCTAAAGAAGAAAACAATGGTTATTTGCCTGCCTACTGTTGACTGAACAGGTATGCGAAGCTGAATTTCAGGACTCAATCAAAACCTCAGTTTCAAAACAGACACTCCCATTACCAAAGCAGTGCTCACTTGGGTTCACTCTTATGTGACCAGGATGTGTGCACCTGCGTTAGTGCACATGTGGATGCACACACATATTTTATTGTATGTCACATCCAATGTGATTTAGAAAAAACTGTGCCACGTTCCACTACTTTCAGACAACAGTACAGCCAAGTATTTCTAAGCTAGATTGGTCACAATACGTTTAGGATACCAAATTCATCCATTTACTGCTTATTTTCCATAATTTAGCTTCTGCTTTGGAATACAAATAAATGAGTATCCCGTGTTTATTGGTGTCTTCTGATCAAATATGTTTTGACATTACTTCATGGGCAAAGAAAAAAAAATCAGAGCTTCAAGCCTCTTAAGAACTTTCCTAGCTATAAAATGCTACAAGTTGATTAAAAAAATAAATAAATAAATAAAAAATAAAAATTGATTCATACTTGAAGAAACAGCTTCAACATTCCTTTACTTTTGTGCATATTCAATTACACCCCAAAACACAGTCCCAAATCATCCCCAACACCTCTGTATTTCGAAATTAATAGAAGGACCTGGTTTCCAGCCTTGGTTCCTCAAAGAGACAAAAGTCATCTCCATCATCCCAAATTCTGGTTGAACATTTCCTATTTCCACCGAGCTGAGGCTTGTTTGAACGGCCACTGCTGCCTCCTCCTCTTCCAACACTGCCACCTCCTCCTCTCCCTTTTCCTCCTCCTCCTCCCCTTCCTCTTCCTCCTCCTCTGTTGGGCCTTCCTCTCCTCTTTGCTCCTGAGCTCATGTTTCTTGCTGGAGGAAAAAAAAAAAATAGCCCTTAGTTATGAAGGTGACTTAGTACAAAATAACCACCCAGGTGCACATTATTTGTTTTTCTGTGTGACAAGAGAAGCTCTCTTCTCAAAGTGTAATTAATCACCTGTATGCACCTGAAAGTAAGCACATTCTTCCAGAACACTGCCACACAAGTTCTGTGGTTTTAGAACACAAAAGTGATCCAAATTTTTTTCACAGCCACTCCAATTGCAGGTCCTGAGAAAGCAGGGTGAGCCTATCAGCAGTGCTGCCCAGCCCCAGATCTGTACTGCGATGGCACTTCCTTGAACAAGGGAGTGCAAAGAACAAACCTCCACGGGACATTTCACAGCAGGGAGCTTAAATCTGCTCCTGACCTGTTCCTTCTGCAAAGAGCTGCCCAGACAGCTGAGCACCCAGAGGGGTGACGAGGGAGCCCTCCTCACAGCAGGACCCTCACCAGCCTCAAGGCAAATCCCCCAGTGTAAAGCAGCTGTTATCAGTTCTGCTGTCCAATATTAACATACACACAGCATCACGACCCCGCAGACGGACAGACTGCTTTATGAAGGCACATAGCAATAGGACTAGGGGGTTGGTTTTAACTGACAGAGAGCAGATTCAGGTAAAATACAAAGAAGAAAATCTCTAGCATAAGTAGGACCCTGGCGCTGCTGCCCATAGAAGCCGTGGTGCCCCATCCCTGGAGGCTCTCCAGGCCAGGCTGGATGGGGCCGTGAGGAGCTGAGCTGGTGGGAAGCACCGCTGCCCACGGCAGGGTACGAATGCGGACGGCTTTTACGGCCCCTTCCAACCCAAACCATTCCGTGACTCCGTGAGAGCTGCTGCAGGGACAGCTGCGCACCTCGGCCAGCCCCAGCCCCAGCCCCAGCCCCAGCCCCAGCCCCAGCCCCAGCCCCCACAGCTCAGGCTCCCGCTCCCCGCTGCTCTCCTCACCGGCCCGCCGCAGCGCTCCTCGACCCGGAAGTTGCCGCCTTCCTCTTCCGGTGCGCTCACCCTCCTAGCGACGGCGAACACTTCCGCATGGCAACCATGGAGGGTACTCCTATCTCCCCTTTTCCCTCCTCCTGCCCCGCCGCGCCCTTCGCAAGTAACGGCTATTCCAGCTGATGTGCGAGGGCCGGGGTTTCAGCTACCTGCACTCCACGCTCGTCTTTCTTTCTCAACAGATGCTGTCGTTTTTAAAGTATCTTTCACGTTCCCAAACAAAGAAAAGTATGGTAAGACAGTCGATAGGCACTAATTCCTTTTTTTTTTTTCCATTTTGCGTGGGATGAGAAAAGAAGAAATCTGCCCTTTGGGGATGTCAGCTGGTGAGCCGACAGGTCACCTGAACCCGCCTCCCCCCCCGAGCTCCCCGCACCGAGGCAGGATCACCCTTAACCCTTCAGGGCGTTAAAAAAAAGGTGCCACTCCCGCGATGGTCCCCGGGTGTTGCTCTGCCCTGTGCCCCCAGCACTGGGGCTCTGTGGTGGCAGAGGAACAGCCCTGAGCTGCTCTCGCTGGCCTTGCTCATCCCACCTGCGCAGCTGGGGTAGCCTACCTGCAGATGCAAGATATGCCCTTCAGGAACTCGTAGTTGCTTTTTTTGGTTGTTGTTGTTGTCTCAGGGATGTTTTAACTGAAAATACCAGTTTCTTTTCCTAGAAGGGGAATGCAAAAAGACACCTGAGGGTTTGTTGCAGAGGAATGGGCTTGGAGTTCATACCAGTGCCAACGGAATGATATACACTGGTAACTGGTTAAATGACAAGGTAATTTTAAGTATTCCTTCATTTCAAACTTTGGGCTTGGAATGTCTCAGTACACCTACTCATCGATGTATGGAAAGGACAGCCATTACCTGAGAAGGACCAGATCCACACCAGGCTCTTCATCCACTGGGGAATCCTGGCAAAGCCCAGCCTGAACGCTTCAGGCACGTGGAGTACTTGGACACCTTGCTGCCTCCAGAGGCTCCCGCAGATTCACCAGTCACTGTTGGCCCTGCTGAAACACCACGGCAGTGGTGCCCTGCTGATGGGCTGCGTGTGCACAGTGGGCTGCACACAGCCTACCTGTGTGTGTTTGTGCACCCCACACACACTTCCCTTGACCAAACAAGAGAGCTCTGATCATCAATAGATACACTGTCTTTGGCTGTCCTTGGTTATTGAATTCCCCAGAAGAATTATTAGGTACACAAAAACTTCTTATTTTGCTGATAATGGAGAGATCTCTGAAATAAATAAGAGACAGAAGTTAAAAAACAGCATCTTTATTAGATCTGGTCTATCTTTTTCTCACCCTTATACAAGAACATATGCTACAAAAACGCTTGGCTTAATGGCCAAGGCTGAACAAATGAAAGATTTGCTCTGCCTTGATCAGAAAGAAATTCCAGAAAACATAATTAACCCCTCAGGCTATCAGAATAGATGAGTTATTTGTATGGCTGGGGACAGAAGTTCCCTGCTGCACAGATTATAAAGGTCCTGTGGGACTATCAGGAGAGGAAAGATTTAATGGATGCTGTGGCTGGCCAGAAACTCTAAGCTGTTATTTAAAGTGCTCGCAGAGGTAGAAACCTGTCTAAATCTTAAGAAAACAGTCCTCTCCACTTACCTGAATGGGATAGAAGGCCCACAAGTAGCAATCTGAAAGAACAGTGTCATAAAAGGAAATAATAACGTAAGAATACACATTAATCTTTATCCATCATCTCTCACTGAATGCAGATGAATGGTACTGGAAGGCTAGAACATCCTTCTGGGGCTGTTTATGAAGGCGAATTCAAAGACAACATGTATCACGGGGCAGGAACCTACACATTTCCAAGTGGAGCAAAGTACATTGGACCATTCAATGAAAACAAGTACGTTTGAAGCAGAATTTTTTTCTTTGAGTTTTGATTTCATAAGGTACAAAGTCAACGTGAAATTCACCCAGCATGGGAGTATGTTTCCCTTGCTACCACTGAAACTTGCACTGGCTACCTAAGATTGCAGGTCCCAGCTATATCCACCTCATCAGAGCAGTCAAAAGCCAGAGATTTGATCCCAGTCAACAGTTTTCAAGATGGCAGACACCCATCTGGTTTTGTGTTGACAGGTCTCCATGAATGACTTCTCTGTCAATTTGCTACGTTTGATACAGATTTTTCTTTAAGTATCTCCTCAGTTGAGTATCTGTAATAAATCAGAAATATATATGCATAGTTCAAATACAGTATTTATTCTGAAAGCATCCCTGCCTTGCCCTGCTGACCAAAAAGAACAGCCACAGTAGTACAGAAGTAGGGCTAATTTTTAAATAATTAAGACACTAAATGAAGTAAGCATTTCAGAACATACCTGAATACAAAATGGGAACCTGTATATTAAACTCAAGTTTTTGGTGGAAAGTTAAAGACATTTTACACTACTACTTGGCATATTAACATTTGCCACAGAGTTGCTGTCCTTTGTGGTCATACTAAATGTCAGATGTGACTTCTATGTGAAGTCTAAAACTGTGAATAACCACCACCACAGCGAGGGCATTCAGCACCAGATCACACACGTGGCTTTACAGGTGGTTTCTTTCATCTTAGTGTTGATGCCTCTGCCCTCCTGGGAAAACACAGCCCAGTGCAAAAGGGCTGGCAGCAACAAGTACAGAAAAACTAATAGCACTACTTCAAACCTGTGATTTTATTTAATTAAAACACTGCTGCTGATGCACCCTGCTTTTCCTTTCTTGACACTGGTTTCTGATCATTAGCACATGGTGCTCCCTGGCAGCCCAAAGCAGGCTCTTTTGCCAGGCTTCAGGATTGCTAATTTCCACCTACTCACACAAGCTAAGTGTTAGTTCACCAGATCACTGCAGCTTTCATAAGAGAACACAGATAGGCAGCACCATGTAACTCACTGTGATTGCTGGGTGTCTTCATTTTCAAGGGGAACAAATCTCCAGTAATTGGTTTTAGAAGTTATTTCCCCTCATTTGCAAGTGATGCTGATATACAGACATCTCCTCTTTACAGCAGTTCTCAGGTATAAGGATGAGCTTGGTCACAGCTTTCAAAGATCAGCAGAAATAAATGATTTATGAGTACTCGGTTAATGTGGCAGTTACTTTTCTTCCCACTGGAGGCTGTAAATCCTTGCACTTTCTCATAAAAATGCATAGGACAGGGAAAGGTTAGGAGAAAATGATTTTTTACAGCTGGCTGCATACACTACACATATCTTTAGGATACCCTGCTGAAAGTCAAGATAAATGTGATAGGACTCAAACCCTGACAATTCCAAATCAAGATTAGGACTACTATTTTTTTCCAGTACAGGCTACATGCTGGCAAGATGTTGGTGTAAGTACACTTTTGCAAAGGAGTGTGTTACTTGGCTGTAACCAAGTTCACCTGTGCTATCTATGTGCTTCATAAACCTTCCTGGCTTGTAAATCAAAACTTTTACATGTAGGAAAAAGTGAAGACAGGTATTTGGCCTAGACTATGAGCGTTCTGATTCTGGCAGTTTGCTTATCCAGCGTGTGCACAGATCACTGTGCTGCCACAATCTGACTGCATGCTTTATTAACAGGCTGGATTTATGTTGTTACAGGATGGAAGGTGAAGGAGACTTCATAGATGAAAATGGAGTGGTGTGGACTGGCACATTCAATGGCACAAAAGCAGCAGGACTGAAGCATAAGCTGAAAATGTAGCTATTTGGCACTGTCAAAGCTACCCCATTTGATCTCACTCTAGGTTCAACAGCTGTCATTGATTTCTTCATGTATTCATTGAAAATGATGCCTTTGGTCACTGGTAAATAAAACACAGTTACTTTTCTTAGCAAATTGATCAGATGAAGTAAACAGAGGAATGGGGTTGAACAGGTTAAATTTAGAAGTAGAGCAGTAAATTACTGGATTTTTTTTTTATTTTAACTTGACCTATTTTAACTTAACCTTTCTTGCTGGGTTTCAAACAACATATATCAGCAAACTAATCCTAATTTACGCTCAACTTCTCTAATTTTTCCCTGGAAAACAAACCTGCCAACCCACAGAAGCCTTTGGAAACACAGTGCTTGCATTTGCACTAAGCGTGGCACTGCACAGCGGGATCAGGACAGAGAGCAAGTGCAGCTGCAGCATGGCAGCTACTCCTCCCAGGACAATCCTGCACAACCCAGGCTCCAGCAGTACACAGCTCAAAAACATGTGCCAAGGCTATTTTTCTCTGGGGGGGAAGTGGGCAAGTGAGCTCACAGGGAGCTGACTGCTGCCACTGCTAGCACAAGGTCTAATGCAATAAAATAAATATGCTTCTATTTTTGTTTGGGTTTGAAAAATTGCTTTCTATACCAAAGTATTTAGATTTGTAGCAAAGAGACCTTTGAAGTACAAACTCACATGAGAATGTTCATGTTTATTCTCCATGAAGGACCTCTCTGTCAATTTTGCTAAATTAAAAAAAAAAAAAAAGCACATCAGCACTGTCATGAAAAAATATGCATTTAGTTTTTGTTTGCCAGAAGTTTAGTGGAGTTTTAGTAAATATCTGCCATTGCCTCCATCCTCAGACACAATGAACAAAAGGTATTCCTTCACATATGCCTTCAAATACTCAGCTCATTTTGGTATTTGATTTGGAAAAATCTTGGGCTTTTGTTTTCTTAGCAAAATTGAAAAGGCAGCACATTATCAGCACACAGAAACATAACTGCTCACTGCTCGTTCTGACAATATAACCCCATGGGTTGCACCTACAACTATTCTTCAGAATTGCCATTTTCCTGTGCTCAATTTTGTTGTGTTTTGCTCCTGGAATAACAAGGTCCCCAAAAGAAACACAGCGTCCCTGCATTAAGCCCTCAACTTCAGAGGCAGCAACATCTTCCACAGAGCTTCCATGAACCTGTGAGGTTGTCCTTTCAGCTCCTTAGCTTCTTCAGCTCCTTAGCTCCATTTATCACCTCCTTTTATCAGTGCTGCATGGTAATTATAACGACTTAGGTACTGCTGTTTCGTTTTCTGCCTGAAGGTATCTTTTAAGCTGACACTTGCCTTTCAGTGAGAACTTATTCTTCCTTTTTCTACTCTTTCCCCTCTTTTATGCCTCTGCTTTGGAGTAACCCATTGGACTAGATCAAGTCTTTTCCTGTCACCTCTGGCCATGCATCACCTGCTTTTTCCCCATGTTTTCTTAATGTTTTCTCCCTGCCATTTGGCGCAAAAAGCCCTACAGGTCAGTGACTAAATACAGACACGGAGGGCTGCTGCCTCTCCCCCTATCCCTCCTCCCTCAAACATCCCTCAAACACTGTGCTCCCACTTTCCTTTTTTCTTTTCTTT